ATCAATTTTTCTATGTCTTGGAAAACCAATTTACAAATAGTTACAAAATCCATTCTTGTCATTCATGGGTAATTCCCATCATTTCATACACTTTTTATCTATGGTAGCTTAACAATTTAAAAACAAATGCAAGATTTATGCATATAATGCAAGTTTTGCACGTATGCACTAGAATATAAATTCTAGCACATAGAGAATTTTATGGTTTATACACTCTTAGACAAAAAAATATCTAAAGAAAGACTAGTGCTTCAGTGACGGCAAGGACCATTCATACACGGCTCACAGAAAGGAGGCTGAAGTCACAGCGCCGACTACCATTGACCTCTGTACAACATCAAGCCCATTTGCAGTGGTGTCGGGCTCATTCGCACTGGAATGTCACTGACTGGAGTAGAATAGTCTTCAGTGATGAGTCCCGCTTTGAACTGAGCCCCAATGACCAGCGAAGACGAGTCTGGAGATGCCTCTGACTGCTGTGTGATACCAACCTGACTGTCTTCCGCCAGACAAGCTGACAACCAGGAGTAATGGTCTGGGGTGCCATTTCATTTCATAGTAGGAACGCTTTGGTTCTCATCCATCACAACCTTACAGCACAGCGGTACATTGACGAAGTTCTAAGGCCCATTGTGTTGCCCTTCATGTCACGACACCCTGGGCATACATTTCAGCAAGATAATGCCTGCCCCCTCACTGCATATGTCTCTACTGCTTGCCTTAGTGCTTACCGAACATTACCTTGGCCAGCAAGGTCGCCGGATCTATCTCCTATTGAGCACGTTTGGAGCATTATGGACAAGGCCTTCCAACCAGCTCGGAATGACGATCTAATGTGTGCCACTTGGACAGAATTTGTTTAGATATCCCTCAGAAGGACATCCGCAACCTCTATCAATCGATGCCAAATCGAATAACTGCTTGCATAAGAGCCAGAGGTGGACAAACGTGTGACTGACTTTTTCACTTTGAAGCTCTATCACTTCAGAATCATCCAATTTTCTCAACTATAATCATTTGTTTTTGTGTACATGTAAATCACTTCTACCGATTTTTGTCCCATTCGGATAACTCCTTCTTGGTGCGTCAGTTTTTTTTTTTTTTTTTTTTTTTTTTTTTTTTTTTTTTTTGTGTGTGTGGTGTGTGTGTGTATATGTCTAAGAGTGTATTACAAATATCTTCAGCTAAAGACATGAAAGGACAGATCATCTTGGGGTTATTATGATCTAACAGATCTTTAGACATTTCCCACTCCTGCAGATTTCTACTTAATGTTGCCAAGTTTAACACTTTCTGAAGGTATTCCTTCAGCTTTTATTTTTTGACTTCAAACTCAAATAAAGTGCTTGAGATTTTCCATTTAATTTTAAAATCACTTCATCTAGAGTTTCTTGAATGCTAAGCTGCTCCCCACACTTCATACACAACTGATCAAATATTCCTTTCAGTTCACTACTAAATACATTATACTTCTTTAATTCACATGCATTTAAGTCTACATATTCTGTGCTAATTTTATCTCTGCATTTTGTTATTTGGGATTTTAATAGTCTCTTTCTATTTAACAAATCTTCATGATGTATTTTTAAATAGAGGCAAACACAACTTACCATTGTAGATGGACCAGCAGCATGATGTCTCATCGTAGATGCTTTTTTGAAAAAATAAAATTTCATCATATTGAGATGAACTATAATCCTTTTATTTCTGGTAGAACACTCCAGGTTACATAGGGTGTCTTCCTGAGCTTTACATTCCTTGTAACACCTACTTACCACAGTAAGATATGCATTTCACTCAAACAAACAAATATATGCAAACAGATAGTGTTCTTGGATATGCAAACAGATAGTGTTGTTGTTGTGGCCTTCATTCAACCTACCTCAGTGCTTCTTTGTAAGCATATTTAACAGAAAATCTGACATAAGTGCAACAGAAGTAACACGGATAAATACAACCACAATTTTGAAATAACAAATGATATAAATTTTGAAAATAAAGTATTAGGAAAAGGTACAAATTTGTAGGAAAAGTAATCAAATAAATTGAACTGAAGTAGAAAATGTGTTACATAATTCAAATCTAAGAAGAAATCTACTTCAGGAGTAGGACTAGAAAAGGCAGGTGTTTATTTTGTTGGTTCAAGTGGTAAAATATAGATATACTTCAATAACTGGGATAGATTATGTTATGTAATATGGTAAAGCACTTAAGTATGAACAGATAAAAAGGAAGTTGGTTACAGCATGGAAGCCAGAAAGTTAAATAAAGCGGACGATGCGAAGCTATGGCATCAAAGAGTGAAAATCAAAGCACAAAAGAATTATGTAAAATAAAAAAAACCTAGTATTATTGCCAAATCTAGTAGATTATCTTTCAAGTTCGTTCCAAAGAGATCTAATAAACTACAGCAGTTGATTTATTTAGATGTTTATGGTCTACTCCCAGTTCCATCTTAAGGTGGGAGTAAATATTTTAAATTGATAAATGGAAAATTCATTAGCCCATGCACCAATAATGTTGGTGAATTTTGTAGCAGGCAATTTGAAAGGTACTTAGTCAAAAATGGAATCAGTGTTGAATGTACAAATGCTTACATCCCAGAAGAGAACAGTGTATTGAATATTTTAACCAAATGGCATCAGATGAAGCAAAAGCTATGCTTAATAATAGGAAAACGGGAAAAGAATGGTGGCTCAAAATTCTTGGATGTCTTGTACATACTTGAAACAGAGTGTGTCACAAGAATAACCAACCCCTTATGAAATGCTCTTCAATAGAAATACCAGTGTTATTTATTTTAAAGTATTCGGATGTAAAATATATGTTGGTGTACTAAAACAGACTAGATATAATTTGCATATGATGCAAATAAGGAACCATGGTAGGATATGCCAAAGAAACTAGGAGGTGTTGAATTTGGCTACCAGAAGAATGGAGATTTATAGAAACCAGTAATATAAAAACTTGATGAAAGAGTGAACACAGCAGATAGCATCTTGGATCAAAAACTTTAAAATGTTTAAAGGGGGGTTAGCTTTTATGTTTGCTTTAATGATTCAAATCAAATGAAATACAGTCAAAAGTCTGTAATCCAGACGTCCATAATCCGGAATGATCTATAATCCAGACCTCAAAGCTACAAACTTTCTGCGCATGCGTCAACGCATCATGCATGCACATAATATGTTTACGCATACGCGTTTAATGTTTAACAGACAGTATAAGCTAAGCTAAAATTATCTATTTCAGTTAATGTTGCAGATTGCATTGTTCCTTAATCTTCTAATTAAATCTGGCTTATTATTTTTTGCAGACTGTTAGAACAATTTTATAAAAGTAAGCTTGAACTTTCTATTATGTCAAAAAGAATTTCCGTTTCTGAAGCTACCAAAAGATCTACAAAGCGAAAGCATGTTTCGGTGTCCATCGCGACGCGACGTGCAATGAACTGGAAGTTGATCTGTCAGCACTATCCTTATCTTCCGGGCAGATGTTTTTATTTTATTCGGCCTCTAATTCCTTACTAAATGTAATATTTCATCTCAATGTACTCCCTCTTTGATATGATTTAAATCAAACTCCTCGTCATTATAAATATCACGAATACACATCAAATAGTTTTCTGGTTGCAGTTTTCTAATTTCGACTATGCATAATGTATGCTTTGCGCATGCACACGTTGAAAGAAATGTTTAATAAAATAAACAAATATTAATTTTTTTTTTTTTTTTTTGTAAATTTTGATACCTTTTAGATCATAATTGCTTTTTATTTCATAAATTACGGTTTCATATTTTTAATTTTATAATTTCTGCATGTCATCTTACCAGATTTAAACTGATGATCTATAATCCGGAATCGAAGTCCCGACGAGTCCGGATTAAAGACTTTTGACTGTATTGTTTTTTATTTCATTAATATGTTGCTGTTGCACTACAATTCTCTAAAATGGCAGCTGTTTTTCATGTTTGAGGTTGGCAAAAAAAGTAGTCACCAGTGATTTACTACTTTGTGAAAGGTCTATTCTAAACACGAAAAATTCCGGGTATCATATTTCAATGAAAATAACCATTTTACCACTATCAAATGCAATTTAACAATGTTTTTGCATGACATCTGTATGTAGGGACAGAATAAAGGACTTTTTTCCCAAAACGAATTATAAAACTGAATTAAAATTGATTCAGAAGAGATTTTTTCGTGGCGTCTGTACGTACATACATGTCTATCTTGCATAACTCAAAAATGAGTAGTATCAGAATGTTGAAATTTTGTATACAAGACTGCTATAAACATGAAGTTGGGCACCTCCTATTTTGGTCACAATCGACCTCACCAATAGTATATGTATATATATCCGCTCTGTTACTAGGCTTTGTGAGCTATTTTTTTTATTCTTATATATTGGTAAATTGTGAATTTTTTGCTTTAAAAATGATTGAATTATGTTATTCTTACCTTCCGGTTAAGGTTTTTATGCTTGTAGTTAATCTGCGTCCAATAGTTGTAGAATTATCAATGATTTAGAAGTTAAATTCATGCTTCCTTACTTTGCAATTAAGTTTTTATTTAAATTAATACAATTAAATTATAATTATTTTAAAATTCTGTGTTTTTAGCTATTATACTACTTGAAATTGCTGAATTTTAAAAATGTGTTGCTCAGGGAAATATTTACTTTTTTTTTTTTTTCTTTTTTCAGATTTGTAGAATTGTTCTTTAAGATCTAAAGAATATAAATGTATTTTGTATTTTAATCTGTAATATGTAAAACAAAATTATATATGAAATCAAAACTGAAAAATTCATTCATATGGTATACTTTTATGACATTACTATCACTTATGATAATTTTCAAAAAGGTTTTTAAATACTTTATGATTGAATTCATGCTTTTAAATTCTGTCATTAAAGATTTAACTTTTTTTTACTCTTATTCATCAATAGATGTAATACAAATAATGATTTTAATACTTTTTTCCTGTGAAATATTCCAGGTTTCATCAGAACCACAGAAACAAAGTACATCTGCTGAACATCATATTCCTTCTCCTACAATGCTCACTTTGGAAGATGAAGATCTAAATGTTTTAGAGACCATGTACGACTATAAAAGAAAAACTTCTAGTGGGACACCAAGTGGTAATGCATTTTATTAAAAAAATATATGTTGTAAAAATTATATATATGCATAGTACATAAAGCAGAGTGAAATCCGTTTAAGAAATCTGTAGTTAGAAAACTTTTCTGCTGAATTTTTCTCCCTCCATTTACTCCCAAGACTTTTTTTTTGGGGGGGGGACTTAAGTAGTTTGATTTAGATCGTACTTTGGAAAAGTTATTTAAAAAGTTTGGCTATATATCATTTCCAAGTTAGCACAATCAACTTGGTGAATTTTACAGAAGAAAAAATGTGATGATTTGTAATTGCAAAAAATTATTTATTACATACAAAAATGTTTGTTGCAGACATATTTTACATTTTAACTAGATATTTATCTAAATAATAAAACTAATTATAAAGAAGCTTTTGCTTCTTTTGATCTGGCAGACTAGAGCGACTGTTTCAAGAAGAGATTCAAAGTAATTGTTCCCTTGAGCAATTTTGTGGCAAAATACTGTAGTCTTCCAGAAATTTTACTGCAGTTTCTTCCAGTGCAGGCAAATCTCACAACCATTTGTTCTGAAATTGAGTTTATGACAAAAAATATCACGATTTACCTATAAAAACCATTGAAATTTGATATACAACGGAAAGAACATATATGAAAGTGGCGATGTTGGTTGTGAAAACTGAAGAATTGTTATGCACATGGTTGTCAGAGTTTGGCCCATTCTGAAACTTTAGCGGTTTTTACCAAGATAGTTGCGGCAATGCATAAAATGCCTTTGTATTTTAATTTCATTTACTCTTGAATAAGGTGCATTTTATTACTTAGCTGTGTAGTTTCAATATTTCATTTTTTTAACTTACCAATTTGCATTGATTAATCACTAACTAATAAGTTGATTTTGTAAATATCTGCATATGCTTTTTTTAGGGGGTAATAATATATTTCTCATTATTTTTCACTTGAGTTTTATAAACAGTTTCTCATTTTTACTTTTCTTCTTAGCTGACCTCTACTTGGGGGAGGGGAAGAATAGTGAATGATAACTTTTGCTTCAAATTTGCCATATATAGAACAATTACAACCATGTTTAAGACGATTATTTCTTATTCAAATGATTATAAAAATTATAATTATTTATTATTTGAGATGAAGCATTAGATGAAATGTAATAAATGATTATTGCATTTCATCTAATGTGAAAGTAATGTGAAAAATGATCTAATTTATGTCAGCAGCTACTTTCAGAATGAAGTTATTTTCTAAACCAAAAACTTGTATTAATGACAATAGTACTTAGATAAATAATGTATTGTTAGTCTAGCATGCATTTTTAGATATTGCATACAATTCCATTTATATATTTAGCTATCATTTTTTCATGCAATTAGCTTATAAATCTTAATGCTACTAGTAAATAGAAATATTCAATCAGCCCATCGAAGATGAATGAATGCCACTGAATTTGCTGTCTAGAGAAAAGTGAGACAGTTAGATTTCATTAATAGTAATAATCTTATCAGGAAAATAACCTCCATCTGTTAAATACAGTACAAAGTCTGAGATCTGGACGTCAAACGTCAAATATCCGGAATGATCCAAACCTCAAAGCCACCACCAAACAATTTTTTTTTTGGGGGGGCAGGTAATTTGATTTTCCCCTCTCATAATAAAATATGTAGAGTACCGATTCTTAATCTCACTTCGGCACTAAATAAAATACCTCATTATTGAAGAAGTATTCATTTTAGTGTAAATTTTTGTGATCAGTAATTTCACTCCGTAGCTGCGGATCTTCTAGGCAAACTGAAAAATTGTTGATTTTACACCAACTAATATTTTATATCCTTGACGCCAACCTGGCGAATCATTATTTATTATATTTTGCTTTCATCGCGGCATGTTTATCACTATGACTTTATGATGACTTATGCAGCGATGCCTAAACAATTTTTTTAAATTAGTGATTGAATAACAAAGAGTATGGTAACCTTTTGTCTTGACATATGATTGCAGCCTATTACAGATTTAAGTTTAATGCACTAAGAAGTGTTGACGAGGAAAGATTTAACGAAAATTTCTTTCCATATGCTAAAAATAGATTTTGTTAATGATACCTATAGGCCAAAAGATTACATTTAGTGCTATTTGAATTAAGAATAACTATTTGTAATTTACATAAAGCCAGAACCGGCGCCAGAGCTCGCATGGCCGCGCCGGGTGGCAAGGAAGAAGAGGTGTTAATAGAAGTTTTTCCTTTTTGATGACAATGCCCCAATCATCAGTCAATTTACAGACGATGAAATTAAAATTTCATCAGAAAGTGACAGAGAAGTTATTGAAAAAGAAAAAAATTTCAATTGAGAAGTTAGTTGGAATTCTTGACACAGCAATAATAACTAAACAAGAAATTATATCTGTCTATAGAATTAAAGAGAAAGTATTAGCACAAAAAACAAAGCAACTTAAAAAACTTGCATTAAAAAATGTTTAATAAATTAAACATATAAATATTAAGCTCTTTTTTTAAAAAATTTTGATACCCTTTAGATCATAAATGCTTCATTATTTCATAAATAATTTCTACATGCCATCTCTTACTAGATTTAAGCTGATGATCTAATATCCAGAATAATTTCAAATCCGGGATCGCTGAAGTCCTGAAGAGTCTGCATCTCAGACTTTGTACTGTGTATATATAAAACTAGTGTTGAAATTATAACTTGGTTTTGTGCTATCAGTTATCTGGAACCTACTGTTCATAATTTTTGCTGCATAAAAGATGATCTGGCAGAGTTTGACTTAGAAGAGAATTTCAGCATCACTTCATATTTATTTAGCTTTTTAATTTTAAATTATTAATTATTGCAATTTTACCCAATAACCACCTCCTTGTGCATTAAATATCTAGAGAGTGTAACAAGATTGATGGTTTCCAATGTTAAGGAGTATAGAACATGGCAAAAAAAATAATTTTTCATAATGCATGCATAGCAACAGAATGTGAATCTGTAAGTGTAACACAGATCGACTCTCCTGAAGCCCTTCCTGCCAGAATCATGTTATTGCTACAGAAATACATAACATGCTGAGCATCTGTCAAAGTGTATGGCAGTTACTTCGCCATTGTTATAATGCATGGGTTGAAGTTTGTAATCATTTATTTTAACTCCTAAAAATATCTAATTCTAAACAGCTCTTATAGATACAAATATTATTTCTTGTAAATATTTGTGATTAAAATGACTCTGTTTTCAAGTTCTGCATACTTAGCATGTTTCTGCATTCTACGTTCCACCATGCATTGTGTATTGTATTAAAATATTATTACTTTTGCCATTCTGTTATGTGATTGCGATTCTTATTACATTGTATGTATATATATAGATATGTAGAGAGAGAGAGATCCACTATGAAGCAAAAAATCCCAGATGCATTTTTAGTTTCAAATGGCATGGCTAATTTATGTGACCATACGGAATGGCATTAGTTTCAGTGCCCATAAGGCATGGCTAATACAATCAATACAATAAAAGAAGAAATAATAAAAACATGAATATATTAAGATTTTAGAATTGCTTTGCAATGACATGGAGTCAGAAGCATTTCTGCATAATTGAATGTGGGTTCTTTTGCCAAAGTGATAATTATCTTAAAATAAAAACAACATGAAAGCACAAAATCTAGCTTTCAGTCGAGTTGTCTGAACTTCTCAAAGTCTGATTTGTCAGGCTGCCTCAAAAATTAATGCAAATGCTGTTTCTAGCTTGAGAGTGATTTAATTTTTGTAAAATACACTAGTGCTGTCCACCTGCAGGAAGGAATGCCTTCATGAAAGACACTAGTCATTACATATGAAGACAACTATGAAAATTTCATGCAGCCAGCCTACTCAGCTATCTAGAATAGAGCACAAGGCAAACTACTAATGCTTTGTGGTAATAAGTATTTAATCAATCGGTGATCAGCTTATTTGGGAATAGGGACCATGACAAGGTTATATCTGTTTAAGAAATTTTAATTGGTGTTGCTGTTCTTGCCTGACATTCTGCAAGCAATGATGTTATGAGATTAACTATGATGCATTTATATTCTGTAAAATTCTGATCATAAAATAAACTTTTTTGGTCATGAATTATAATATAAATCTTAGATCTTTCCCAGTAAGATTATTTGTACTGATTATAAAGAAAATACTTCATGCAACTGATTACATATTGTGCTAATTTAATCACATACCGTACTGTGATTTTTGACATGCTAATATATTAGTTCCATTTTAGTCGTATATAATTATGATTTTATAGAATTTTTTAAATAAATTTATTCTTCAACGTATATTCTGCATCTAAAATTCTTTTCAGTACGTAGTCGCTCATCACCTAGTGCCACACCCGAGGGTTCAGAAGCTGTGAGTGAAGATTCTAGTTCTGCCAAAAGTAAAAGACATAAGCATAAAAGTAAAAATAAGGTGAAGTTAACTTTTTACAATTTCCTAGGCTGTGTCTATTTAACTGAAAATTTGTATAGTTATTAATAGAAGCACTTTATTCATTTGTAACACTAAATCTCACGAAATCTAGAATTGAAATAGATAAACTATTTTGCAAAAGTATTTAATTTGCCCTTTAATGATAAATGATTTAAATTTTAGATCTTTTTTTGTTTCTGTGCAGATTTTTTTTTTTTTTTTTTTTTTTTTTTTTTTTTTTTTTTTTAAGATTGCACAGAACGAATGTCGTCAATCAAAAATCAACCAGACTTATCAATCAAGTCTGATTGATTTTTCCAGGGCAATATTTTTTACTGTTTTGTCTCAAGAATTAACAGCAGTTCTTACAGAAAACATTTGCTGGGAGGGGGGCAAAATATATTTACACATTTGTTTTTCTTACCATTTTCCAGATATTATTCAACAGTCTGCAAAATATATGACAATCAATATTATAGGATTTAATGACCAAGAACTGTGACTTTGCATGAAGTGAAATGACTTTCTTATACTCAAATAACCATTTTTTTTATCTATTTTTAAATTATGGAATGATAATATAGCAGAAGATGATTAAAGCACTTTGGCATTCAAACTAGAATTAAAACTTACATTTAAAGTAATGTTACCTATCACTAGAATTTCAAACAACCTACAATAATTTTACTTCAATAGTTTGTGTAGAAAATATATTCAGTGAGAGTTTTAAAATGTTCTGTATAACTTTATGTTGCAATTTATTATATTCACATAAAACAATCTACAATTTCTTTGTTTATACATTACACTGCAGTGTTTTGAGACTATGAACATTATTAGTGTGTTAGTCTCAGTTTTTCATAACTTAATTCTAAGAAACCATATTATTATCTGGAAGGGTTTTTAAGTATGTGTCCTTTGTTTTACTTCTGTAAAGAGACTTTGCAGAAGGTTTCTTGCTACTGGTTTCCTAGTTATTACTGTAAACTAGACAGTTAATAACATCAGAAAATTTTTAAAAGGCTGGTTTAAGAGAGATGTTTTAGGTCAATAGTCTTCAAAATAAGGACAGTGAAAAAATTTTGGGGGGGTCGCCAGATCGCTGAAAAATTGCTTACCAGGGGCACAAAAATATTTTAAAATACATATTCCCGAGAATTCAGAGTTGCAGTCCTGTAAAGTTTGGGAACTGTTGTAGGTTATTATGTGACAAAAGTAAAATATTGCTTTAACTACGTTATTCTTTTGGCATAATGACTTGAAGACGGGATGGCATGTGATTACATCAATGACCTTGCTTTTTTTTTTTTTTTTTTACATATAATATATACATTTGTTTTTTTAAAATATGTTCTAATAAACATACCAGTATTCCTTGATTGTCCCATCATTGTATAATAACATTAAAAAATGACACAGCACATTACATGAATTTAATTTTGCATTTTTCATATGGTATAAATTTCATCTTGCTTGGCCTTTAATCCATTGTTTGTAGTATTATAATAGCAAAATATAATTTTTTTTTTAATTGTTGCTTAAAATGTTTAATTTTTCTACCTGTAAAAACATATTTCCATAACATAAGTTTCAGAATTTTTTTTTCGAGTTGAAATTTTAATAGTGAGAAACAATATTTAAATATATGCCATCCAATAAAAATGGTGCTTTATATCCATATATTACATTAATTTGATATCTAACCTAGCTCATAATGCTCTCTTCCAGAACTATTTGCTTAAGTTTTAAAGAGAATAAGGTTTCACATGAGTTGGCAATCTAAAGGTTGTGTAACCTAGGGATTCTCAACTGCTGGTTAAGCGGACTGGCAGCAGTTTATAGAAAAATTTGACCAGTCATTAGAGAAATGCTAAAAAAATTTTCTATGATATTTTTATGTTAATGCTATAATTTTAATCTCTAGAATCTATAATTTTGTCTTTAAATGCTGGTAACAGTGTCCAACCGGCCCACAAAATTTTATTGTTTTGTGGGCTAAAAAAGGTTGAGAAATGCTGGTGTAAGTAACCTGCTTTTGAAATAGAAATGGTTAGGATGATAAACTGATGTTAAAATCCAGCTGGAGCATTTTAAGCATGAAGTAGTGACATGATTGGTGATTAATAAAACGACAGTAACAGTTTCACCGAGATATCTATTTTGTGCAAATTATAAATAAATAACGTTAAGAAACTCATTTTATAATTTCAAAAGTCAACAACAGTTTTTTTTTTTTTTTTTTTTTTGTGTGTGTGTGTGGTGTGTAACAATTTTTTTCTGAATTTTAACAAATAACTTATTTCTTATTATCTAAATGCAAATCACCCTATGGTAGGATTTGGCGGGAAGAATCCACTGCCTAAATAAATACTATAATCTAGTTTTAACAATGCGTTTGCCAAACAAAGTATTTAGGTAGTGCTTCTGCCAGACTAATGCAAAACGACTGAATCTTAGAACTGATATTAACAATAAGCATTACAAGAGAAAAAGTATCCTATAGTTTATTTTTAAAGCATCTGAAATTAATATTATTGTGTGCATTTTTATTTTCTTTAAATCTTGAATCTTTTTTAATATTTAGGAAGAATCTAGGAGTCATAGAAAATCACACAAGCACAAAAAACATAAAGAGAAAGATGCCACTGGACCCAAGAAAGATATTCCTAAAATAAAGAGTAAAGAAGCTGGTGAGTTGGACAGTTCATCAGACGTTGATAGGCTAGAAGAATTTTTAGGAAACAATGATACTACAAGTGGAAGCATTAATCATCAATATGAAGTTTTTTAAAACATTTTCCCATTATTCCTTCAGTAACTAGGAATGGTTAATATTTACATACCCTGCTTTTGAAAGCCGTGGACATTGTAAATTTTTGGAGGTAATGAAGATTCTTTCCAGTAATTTTGATATAATAAACAGAATGAGCTATGTAAATGCTTTTGCTGTACCATAGATTGTACCATCCATTTGAATTTCGAAGTATATATCCAAAATGTTAATGTTCATAATTTAAAAAATTTTACTTTTTTAAGTATTTCAATGTTTATTGAATTAAAAGGTATTAAATTATATGAATTATTAATCAATGGAAAGATATGCAATAAAAGAAAATATTTGTAAATTAAATGTATGAATTAAAATTGCTATCTGAAATATTTGCACTTCTTGAACTTAACAAATATGTTCACAACACTTTTATTCATACTGTAAAAAGGAGACATTTAGTAAAGATTAAAAATGAAGATTTAGCATAAATTTATGTATATGTAAAGTATTTAAAACATTAATAAAAGGGGAAATTGAGAAAATATAAAAGCATTAAGATTAAAACAGATTAGAATCAAATGATCGTGTAAGATAAACAACCAGTGCTAGCAAATACAGAAATATAATTTAGAACATTGTGATAACTTTTCCACTAACTATTCCTAAATAAAAAAATCAAAACTCTGTAAATCTCATAACAGAATAAATACTAACTTTGGATTTGAAAATAAATAGCTGAAAAAATATTAAACTTTGGGAATAATAAATTTGAAAAGAATCAGATAACTCATAAAATTTTATTTCAGTTAATTATGCACATTCAATATATTTTTACCATCATCATTAATGCAGTTTGACATGCATATTACATGCTTAAGTAGGAAGGTATCTATAAAAAGTCTAATAGACTATATCTTAATCATGAACTCAGAAAACTTTTGGTGAAGGTTTAACATGTATATATATATATATATATAAACAAAATAAAAATGTCAACAAATATAGTACACAATATATACTGACTTTAAAACATACATAAAAGCTGCAGTAACAATGTGCATAAAAGTGTAGGGCAAAGGAAAATCACATTATTAAATATTTCCCTTTAGCTTAAATAAGCAAATGTATATAGAGAGATATATATATCAACAGAGGTCTCAATCTTTACCTTTTAAAGCAGCGATTCTCAACCGGTGGTATGCAAAGAAACAAAGTATTTTAACTAATACTTTCAAAATCAAACTTCTCAAATCAAATCTCATGAAGAAAAAGAACAATTGATAGAAATTTACTGCGATCCAACTCTAACTGAAGATTTCAAAAATAACACACTCATTAACTTTTGGCTAAACCAAAATAATAATAATAATAAAATAAAGGCATTTCAAATAAAACTATTACATTTTTATTACCTTTTTTGCATTATATTTTGCACAACCTATTTTTGTGAACAAAGATTTTCTTTCATGTTATATTTGAAAAATAAATACAGAACAAAATGAATCTAACTTATGGTTAAAATTAAGTGAAATAAGACCAGACATAAAAAAAATTGATCTCTTTTAAACAGGCCGAAATTTCCCACTAAATTCATGATTAAAGTATTATAACTTTAATTTTGATGATTAAAATGGTAACCAAATTTTAATTTTTTTATGCATGCACATTTAATACAAAAGCCAATAGGTTGTCCAATTGGAAAAATATATATATTTTTAAATATTTCTATTGAGGAATTTTAAAATAATCATTGTAAAATAAGAACAAAAGTTTTTCAGTTTTTGTTTAGATGGTACACGTTATTAAAAGGTTGAGAACCACTGTTCTAAAGTACAAACAGAAAAATTGAACATATATAACAACTGTTTTTTGGCAGCAGCTTATAACACATGCAGTAATAACTCTTGATAATCAGAGTCAATAAAAGTTTAGTGATTAAGAAGATTTTTTTTTTATTATATTTGAGTAACTTAAAAAATATATATATAAATTCATTTGATTAACAATGACAAAAGGAAAAGGTTTTGATTTATTCAGACATTATACATAAATATCTAGAAGAATATGTAAAAACTTAAGTATTAAGCTCTTTACACACATACAAATTTAATATTACTGTCTTAGTTTAAACAAAGGGTAAAATAATTATTTTTTAATCACTAAATGTCATCACTGTATTGGAAATTATCATAGGTACAATAGATAGCATTGATTAGTTTTAGGTGCAAACAGATACTGATAATTTAAATGTAGATGTTGAAAATTGCTACACACATTAAAAAGAAAAAATTTTGAGTTCCTCTTAAAAATTAAGATATTGTATCACAAATATGTTTTTATATTCTTCAATATTCAAAATAAAAAATGCTGTTCTTAATTGTTTCAACATTAAAAAAAAATCTCTTGAAATTTTACTCCAAAATGCAAATTTTAAACAAGTATATTTTTAATCTGGTCGCCACATTATTTTATATTTTAAGTATATTATACAGAACAGAATCTCTATTCATCAACCAACTCTGTAAATTGAGCTGGCTGTCGATTTGAAGAAATCATTGGAATAATTTAATAATCTTTGTGATAAAATTATCAGATTATAAAAAATCAGTTATTTGTGAATTCTCTTGCCTGGATTTTGGCCTCTTTTTATCAATCATGGATCATTTAATTTTTTTGCTCTTGGTGGTCTAACACTGATACAACCTACCATATATTTCTAAATATACAGCGAAAGTGTGTTTTTCTTCAAAAATTTAACCAAAAAGCCTATACATAAATGAAAAAAAATTCAAACATATCAACACAAGGACAAAAATGTGGCCAAGCAGGTAAAACAGGCGGAATATTTTCCAATCAAACCACTGTTAAGTAAAACGCCAGATGCCAACAATGATAGTTATAACTATCTGAAATCAGCACACTTTTTGTATTCATTTGTTGTCTTGTATACGATTTGTAGTATCTGTGCTAATCTTATTTTCTGTGTTATTTTATTTTGTCTGAAAGATGAGCAGGAAGAGAGATTCTTATATGGCAAAATTCATGTGATAATATTTGCTGGAAATTCTAACAGCATTGGATGTTTGGTATTTCTCTGTAAATAAAAAAACAAGCTCTAGCATAAAGAAATAAAACATCAGCAGTGTAAACAATTTTAAAAATAAAACAAGTAACTTATTCCATTTAAAATTAATTTTTTGGGGAAACTTAAAAAATAAGAAAGTGCTATATAGGATTTTTTATCCCTTGTGCTGAATTAACAGTAAAGCACCCATGTTTTTCACAGGATTAGCAAATCCATATATAAGCCAACCCCCATAATTTTAGCTTTAGAGAAGTTCCAAAAATTCTCGGCTTATACTCGTACGTAGAAATACATGGTATTCAACATTCTATAGAATGTAAGCTGTTGCACAGACACAAACATAAATAGACAGCATCCATCTTTAATCATGGAAATTCCAGAATAAAACACAGCGTTTCATCAATATCAGCATTTTCTTGGTGTAATATCATTTGTGGAGTGCCATGCCATAGCCTTGCTTTTTAAGTATTTTCTCAACATTGGGGGCTTTGTATATTTTGCAGTTTTGTTCATGTGACAATTATAAATTCGTATATCTTGTTCTCTGTGTGGAATGAAAGTCAATCTTTATGATTGAAAGATTTTCAAATTTCTGTAGTGAGAGGATTAAAAGCACTGCAAAAATGTGAAAAACATAAATAAAAAAGTGAAGATATCAATATGTATATATATATATATATATATATGCCAGGAAATAGACATTTTGTTCCATTTGAGATCTGTCAACAAGAAGAAGCCCATATACCAATATATGGGACATCTCTAAAATGCTGTATCCCATCGCACAAAATGGCAATGCGCAGTTTGCAATGTTATAGTCTGCCTGAATGATAAGAACTGTTTTCTGTACTATCATCACGAATAAATCATGACATAGTCCTAGTAGCATTGTAGTGCAATTATCATAATTTCTATAATTTTAGAAGATTTAATAAAAAAATGTTTATATTAATCATTATTAATATGTTAATTTATATTAATTATTATTAATATGTTAACCGCACGACAAGCAAATAAACTTTTGGGAGGGGGAGCCAAAGCTTAAATGATCTTTCTATTATGCATTATAATAAAAGATACAATTGACCTGAATTTAAAAAAAAAAAAAAAAAACCACTAATCTAATTGACAATGAAAATGTTGCAGAGCATCAAAGGATGCATAGCTATTGCTCAAGATGATGTTTCAGAATGGTTAAATGTAAAAAGCAGTAAATCACGTTTTTATGGTTTAAATGATAAAGAAATCATTTGCACCATACATCTGGAGCACAATAAAAATTGCAGTGATGAATGATGCTGAGGATCATAATGCAATGGAAATAGACAGTGGGAAAATTAGCTATGCTTAAGCCTAAAACAAAGCTTTAATATCTAGAGCAACATCCTGATACATTGCCATGTATTTTTTGTTAACCAAAAAGGTTGCACAATTGAACGACGACTAATAAAATTATACGTTTGTCACAAAAATTGCAACATGATTTTTTTTAAAAATAATATAGTAATAATAATGTCTCTTAAAATGCATGCCAGAAACTTCATAAAATTTTCCAATTTACTTAAATTTTGATGGAGTTTCTTTATTAAAATTTTATGTGCTTTTTTTGCTTAACTGAATGAAATGGATTTTATTTACTAATAAAAAGAGTTTGTAAAAATGTTAATAGTATTTTTGCACTTATTTTTGGAATTTCAAATAAAACAATTTCAGGAAACATTGTTGGAAAAAAAAAATTGCCATGATTTAAAGTTCAGTCTCCATTAACCATGGTTTTGAACATGGTTAATGGAGACTTGAGGTGGATTATGCTCTCAATTACCTCAGATAATTAAGGTTCTACTGTATATGAAAACAGATTTATATAAAAATAGGACACCGGAAAATATTTTAAAATAAACATTTATACAGTCAAAAGTCTTTAATCCGGACTCGTCGGGATATTAAATATTTCTTTCAATGCGCGCATGTGTAAAGCATACATTGCACATAGTTGAAATTAGAAAATTATTTGATGTGTATTCATGATATTTATAATGATGAGGAATTTGATTTAAATCATATCAAAGAGGGAGTACATTTAGATGAAATACTAAATTTAGTAAGGAATTATAAGCCGAATAAAATAAAAACATCTGCCCTGAAGATAAGGATAGTGCTGACAGATCAACTTCCAGTTCATAATCTGTGTCAATTTAATTAATTTTTGATCAGCAAACTCAGTGATTTAAAACAATGTGTTGCCACTGCTCCAAAAAAATAACTCTTGACTGCAAGAGTGTTGCCACTAGGCAAAGTATCAGGCTGTTTAAAAGTAAAGTGTTGCCACTGCCAGAAATAAAATACTTTTATCTTTCACACCTTAGTGTATTGCCACTTGGCAAAGCATAAGTTATTTAACATTCAAATTGAATCTGTTACTGATTAAAAAATTATGTGATTTAAAAGGAATAAATTCAATTCCTAATTTTTTAACTTTTTGATTTATTTAAATAAATAATTATGTATTTAATCAAAAACATTAAATATTTTTATGAAATTACATTATCTGGATTCTTGAAACCAGGAAACACAAACACATATATATATGTAAAGACATAAAGTAAAAAGAATTAGAACTAAATAAAAATTTAACAAATATTAAAAGCAAAACAGTTCAAACAAGCAATATCCCAATTAAAAAAAAAAAATCAATGAAATTTAATAGGAAACTGTAAAATCAGCTAGTTTAGTATAAATGTGAAAGATTCTGACATTATAGCCTAATCCTCAAACCATCACAAAGTTATAAAAAGATACTGTGTGCTGTACACTACCTTATATAATCAGGAGATGGCAAAAAATAAAAATGTTTCCCCATTAAACCTTTCAAGACTTATAACACCATGCTTACTTAATTTTTGTGTCTAAATCATGCATGCATATTTGTGTTAAAAACTGGAATTTTCATAATAAAGATAGTAATGTTTGGTTGGTGTATTTCACTCTCTTATAGCCCACTCTTATTTGCAACTTTTTTTTTTACTATCGAATCATTTATTCCTTAAATTTAAAAAAAAGTTTGTGCTGCGATAATTTGCAGATGCTATACTACAACAGCCTACCTAAGATACATTTAAATGAAATTTTTAAAAAAAAAAAATTACACAGGAACGAAATGAGAACATTTTTTTAAATGGATGCATGGCAATATTTTACATCAATGCACTAAACACATTTTATATTTATTCATAAAAAACACATGAAAAAAATTTTTAAACTGGATCAAATAGTTCAAGGTTTAGGACATAGCCTTTACATATATTTTTAATATTGTTATCAAAAGAAATTTCCATGATGATGCAGTTTATTCAAAATGCACATAGCCATAAATATTATTCTATTGCAGTCTGAATATTAAGTTGCAGATTCTTTCACAAACTCTAGCACATAACCTTTGTTTTGTATAATTCCACGACACTTTACTATAACAGAATATCTTACTATCCAGTTAACTTTCCATCCATCAGGATTAGCAATGCCTGATTCTAGGATTTTTGGCTGTAAGGTTTTTGGCAATAAATCTGAAACATTTAGGAAAATGTATACATCTTAACATATTAATAATAAAATATATATTTTCATATATAGCATATTCTTATGCATAATATAGAAAAAGAAAGAATAGAAAATATACGAAAGCTTCCTTCTGTATAGCTGGCAGATATAGCAGTGAATTATAAAAATCATGCAAAGTTTACATGCATTTAATTATGCATTATATCTCTTTCTAACTTTTAAACAAATAATTCAACAACTATTAACAGTTTCTTTGTTCACAAATTTTTAAAAGCAATGTTCATGGTAATTTCAAAAATGTTGAAAATGTAACATTAGTTTTACAGAATTTCTTAAAACCACACCATAAAAATTTCAGAATTAATATAAACTAAAATGATTAATTTCTAATAATATTCTAAATTATGAAACATACAGTCTACTCAAAATTTATCAGATTCCAGAGTTAACTAAAAAATCAAGATTAATTCAAAGGCAATTAAAAAAATGTAGAAAAAAGCAAAACGCAAGCTATACTAGGCAAAAAAATACTGCTAAAAATTTATCTGTACTATCAAGCAGTTTAATTTGGAAATAAGTGCAGTTGATTAATTAAATTAAGGCAACATTCGAAACAAAAAGAACACATGGTAAGGAAAGAATAAACATCATTAGAAATGAAGAAAGCACAAGCAATAAATGGCATTATGAAAAAATATTTGCCAAAGATCTGTAATCTCACTTTTCCTTTCCTTTCTGTATTTCCTATTAGCAGTTTGTTTGACGCTGATGATTTGTGATGGAAATTTTTCCTTCAATAATTAATAAATTATTTTTATACATAGCGCAGTTAAGTCACTTCCCATAATTTGATTGTAATTATTCAATACTAAGTGATTCTACGAGGAAGAATCAAAAGGTAAGAGCAAAATACTAAAAGCAATGAGGAAATGAATGCAGCTATTAAATTAGTTTTTTCCATATAGTCCTTCTAATGAGCTCTAAGTTCAAAGCAGGATTGTACCGCTTCCTTTACCTCATCATTAAAGGTAAACTCATAACCAAGTACAGTATCTTTCTGAATCTTGATCCAGAATTGAAAAGTGGATATACAGTTCAGCCTGCAGTTGTACTGCCTTCACCATGAAAGTTACTATACAGAGATTTGCCTTCGCACTTTGCAGCAAGACTGGTGACATTCCTCTTATTTTGCTATGAATAGGAGATTGATATGTTTTTGTAGGTATAATATAATGAAATGCAGTGATCGTTGTTTCATTATTGTTCCTGAAAATGCTTCTCCATAGGAAAATACTGATGTTCTAAAAGAAAGCAGCAAGCATGTTTTTCTTTTCGGAGGAGAAGATGATATTTTGATTACATGGTCTCTTGCTTTCTAATTTGTAGCAAATGAATCAAATTTAGAGGTCCTTCTTTCCAAAGGACCCAAATCTGCCAATGTTTCAGAAATTGTATTAAAATTATATACATTTTTTTTTTTTTTAAACAACTAACAGATCTGGTGCTTTTTCTTTTGGGAGGAGAAATTTAGTACCTACAGTAAAATGACAATATCTACATTAACCACAGTAACAGATGTGATCACGTATTTATATAATAATAATATTGTATCCTGATGTGTTTTTAGTTATAATGTACCACACAAAATGGATCAAGTACCATACTTATTCGTGTACTTTTCCCCTTAGCTTTTTAGTGTCAGGTTCTGAAAATTTCAAAAATATCATCATAATTTTCTCCTTCCTCAATATGTTCAGAGAACTAGCTCCCCTAAATTTTAAAATGGATTTGTCCATGTAGTAATTGTTTTTGTGTTACTAACATAGACAAATGTTTGCACACTATCTATGAAGATTACATAGAATCTTTCTCTTCTAACTGTTGAACTTTATGCCAGCCTAATACAAGAAATGAACCATCACAGCTAAACATATACAAACTGACATTCGGTCTATGATTTCGCTGAGCACCTTTCCTAATTACTAATGGATAATTGAGGCCTGAGGAGTAGTAGAGATAACACTAAGATGACTGAGATTCAAATGACAGGAAAGTAGAAATGAAGATATCTAATTGAATATTGTAATATTAATATCACTATGTATTCTTCTTGGATCTTGGAATGTAGGTTTCTTTTAAAGAAATAATGTTGTGATGGTTATGTGTAGTTTATTAATAACTACTTACTCATTTACTGAACTCATTTACTATATTCTTACTAAAACTATGCGTTTCGGAAAATTAAATTATATATGCATTATTTTCTCACCTAGATTTTCAGAGATGATAAAATTAGTAAAATAAAAAAGGGGGGAAGAAATACCAGTTTTACACATAATTTAATGAACTCTTTATATGAATGCAAAAAGTTCAAATATAGAAAGCAAAATTTTTTTATAAGTGTTAATATTGATGAAAAAATTGTCACACATATAAAGACATCATGCGTGCTTATTCACCGAAAACTCATTATCGAATTTTTGGACCAAAAACATTACCTCCCTTACCTATATATATATATATAGGTTGGCAGAAGGTAAAAAGGACAAGGTAATGTGTTCCCATATAGAAAGAGATAAAGGGTATTGAATTCACACTGTTAAAAACAATTTAATACAAAACAAATTAATTACTTTGTGTTTAATTGTTTTAAGTAGCAGAATTTCAGATGCAAGAAATGCCAAATCATATGCAAATTAAATCTAGACTGACACAGAATGATTTAGGAGTTTGAAGACCTTCTTCACAATTACAGTGAACCAACTTAAACATTTAATAAATTTTCATGAATAATGCAGAAATAAATTATCAAACTATTCCAATTATATATAAATCTGATGAATTTATAAACAAGCAGATAACAGTTTTTCTGTACAAGCATACGCATACTCTGTCTGAATCCCTATTTGCATGACTTTTTGATAGAATCTTCTGTGTACGATATCAGATTGATCATGTGAATAAATTTGTATAAATTAACAATTTTACATCATAGTAAGGCTTTTATGCTCATAAATGTGTTTTAATTTGAAGTTGGAGGTTTTTTTAAAGGAGAGCCAACCTAAACATATGTGTATATTTCAAATATTTTAATAGCCTAGTATATTTAATAAATTCTTTCTTGTGTTTCTACATCTGTCAAATTACACATGTAAAGTTAAAACCTGTTGTTTAAAAAAATAATAAAATAAAAATTTAAAAATGTAGAAACACAAGAAAGACAAATTAAAAGTGCCACTTACAGGGGTCCTAATAGAAAAAGGCAAATCAAAATTCAGAGAAGGGGGTAAAGCTGAAAGGCTAATGTGCCAGTTTGTATAAAGAATAAATAATATAATGACAAACTACTACAGAAATGCCTTCTAATAGTCCAAAATTTCTAATGAACACTGTATTTTATTTATTACCTTTATAATCCCTTGCCCCCAATTCGTCATTTTTTTCTCTCTAATAAGTCTCTAAGTAGGTTTCAAATTTCCCACACATGTAGAATAAGGATTCAGTTTTCAACTATGGAGAGAATGTTATCACCACTGTAAATATACAATCAGACTAAGCATGAAATGAACCAAATTGATTACATACGGAGGAACCACCAGTCAAAATCCAAAATAGCGAACGTCAATGGCAGAGGAACTTGCAAAAATTTTTGAACAGCATTCATTAGGAAACACAAAACATGAAGAAGAAATTCATAACCTGGTTACAAGTATAAAACACAAAAGAACTATCATTATATTTCACCAACTTCTCCATGCGAGGTTCATGGTTAAAGAATAAAAATGAAGAAAAGCAAGATGATGTGATCAAATAAATAATGAAATATTTAAAGCTCTTCCAAGATGCTGCATAGTTCTTTTAACAAATTATTTTCAACACATGCATACAGCAGTGCTATTTACCACAGCAATGGAAGCACATCGTAATAATTACATTACTCAAACTCAGAAAGAGCTCTAGACAAGTATTGAGTTACAGACTATAATAAGTCTGCAGTCCTCAATGGGAAAGGTTTTTGAAAAGATTCTCAGTAATAGACTCAAGGCACATTTGGAATAGCTCGAATTGATCGATTGCCTGCAATTTGGATTTCGTAGTAGTCACAGTTTCACACACCAAAGTTTGAATCTCACTGAATATATTCCTCAAGCATTTTATATAAAGAACAGGGTAGCTGCACACTTTCTCAATTTTGAAAAAGCATTTGACCAAGCGTGGCATGCAGGCCTTATTCACAAGCTTTCCAATTTCATTCTACTACATAGTTTTATTAAATTACTGATCTCTTATCTAAACATAAGAACTTTACAAGTGTATTCTGGTGATTCACTCTCTTCAAAACAGATTATTTACAATGGCATACTGCAGGGTTTCGTCCTTCACCCAAAATTATTTAACATCTTTATTAATGATCCATCACACTTGCTCAACTCAATCGTCCTCAAGTATGCTGACGATATTGTTATATTAACAAATTCAAGAAACCCACAAATTGCAACCTACAACAGCACGTTAATATGCTATCATATTGTGGTGAAAACATGGAAAATTAAATTAAACACTTCTAAGTGCTGCATTGTATAGTACAGAAGGTATAAAAGATGTATGAATGGAAATCAAAATTGAAAATGCAATAATATCTGTTGATGGTTCATACAAGTATTTAGGAGTGTAAGTAGATAAAACACTCTCAAAGAACATATCGCACATGTTACAAGCAAAGTTAATGGAGAGTTCGTGGCACTACATAATTTTAATTGGTCAGAAATCAAAACTTAGCCTCAAAGCAAAGAAAATGATTTACGTAACACTCATTAGGCTTATTCTACTCTATGCAGTGCCTGCATGAGCAACAGCAAGCAAAACTGAAAGACTGAAAATCAATGTATTGCAAAACAAAATTCTATGTGCAATAGTAATCCCGCCGTGGTATGTACAGAACATGCAAATTTACTCAGATTTGGAAATTCAATCCATCCATAATCAAATTTTAATTTTTGCTCACAACTTTTTCAAAAATATGAGACATTCACAGGTTGGCAGCCATAAAAGATATTCTAAACTATGATCCAATGGTAGAGAATGTTATCAAAAGACCATGAACAATCTGCCATATTTCATTATGGTGGTAATGTAAATATGTAAATAATTCAAGCTTCAAGCATATTTTTATCAATTTACTTTATTTTGAGAACTTATATGTATCTTATTTAATTAATTTTTTTTTTAAATTGTGTCGATTTTGCCTGGCAAAGCAGGTTATTTGGACTTTGTTATTTTTCATCTATCATGAGATCACACCGCAACCAATCAGTAACTTCAGAACTGACTCTCAAGATTTGACAATGAAGTCATGTGACTATGTAACTTTAGTGCTCTCATTTAATATAATCAATAAGTACAGAAAAGGAAACTGAACTTACTAAGACTCTAAAAGAAATGCTGTTAGAAAGAAAGAAATGTTATCAGGAAGAAAGAAACGCTATCAGAAAGAAAGTAATGCTATTTCAAATCAGAATGCTTTGATGACTTCTCTTCATGATTTTGTCACTCTTCTATCCTTGCCTCCGGGAGGTGGTGCAATTGCATCTTTAATCAAAAAACTAAAATAAATGGCCTTAGGGTAACAATTAAAAAATTACAGGTGGAAACTCTCTATAGTTGTGGACCTAGTAATGATCTGAGATCTGAAATGATTAAGAGCAGAATGTGGGGGGAAAGAATTTTTAGTCCAAAGGGGCTTTGTCCTTGAAGGACTATTGTTTTCGTTTTGCAATTTTGCGTCAGACTCGTAAACGTCGGTTCACTTTTCAAACTGTGCCACAAAATGTTAGAGTCCTGCATTATATTTGAAGAAATTAAATAATGAAAAATCTGCATAAATGATTGTCTATTTCTCGCATTTTGAATGACGAAATCCTACTGCGAATATGGGCATCTGAAATCCCAAATTTGGAATTTGTTTTATTATAGATTTTATATTTTGTAAAACTTTAACGAATTTTTGATTTACAAACTCAATGCTTTAAAAGCGAGAAATGGCAACGTTATATAGAAAAAAAATACTTTTATCTCCAGCTCGCGAGACTGTGTATATCGGAAATTCTAAAGATATGCTTAATTTAACATTATTTTGCGATATTGCTCTTGAACTGAATTTTATGGTTTAAGTGCAAAGAACATGATATTTAATAAATAAAGGTAACACTCAAAATGTAAAAAAAAACGCCCCTTTGGACCTAATTTAAAATCTGAAACATTTCTTTTTTTTTTTTGTTTTTTTTTGTTTTTGTTTACCTTTTGGATCATTATGAGTTAACAACTGGATATCATTAGCACGAGCAAATGCAGTCATTTCTGGTGGCATAACACAGCATGATTCTAGATTTACTTGATTCACACTAGGTTTCACCTATAATAAAAATTCATATGACTTAGGATTGAATAGCAAATTCAAGATTTAACATTAGCAAAAGAATATGGTTGGGAGTAAAACTTACTAGTTTGAAAATCTTAATATGCATTTCAATATATACCTATTTTCTTTCTTTAAAAAAATAAATAAAACAGAAATGGAAAAAAAAAAGTAAAAAAAAATTTTATTCCAAAAAAAGCTTGCATTTAAAACTCATAAAATAATTACAGTTTAATGGGAACAAAAGATTAAATAATTTTCTTCACAAAATCCATCTACAAATGTACATCACAAATAATAAAAGCATGCAGCACCCTTGACAAAGATATACTTTTGACAATACAATTTGATTTTCTTAGTCATCCACACTGTTATTGTTTGTCATATACAATTGCAGATGAAATTTTGCAAAGAAAGTAACTTAATTTCTTGTTCCTATTAAACTTTATGATTTAATTATTTTTCCCTTTTTAGTTCACGAATTATTTTACAAGTTTTAAACAAAAGCTCATTTTGTAAAAACTTTTCATTTTCTTCACATTATTAGTCTTGATTACTTGTTATCAATATAATTATTCATTAGAAAAATTGTTTTTCAACAAAGAATAATCACTCTTTTATCTCCAACTAGCAGCTTCGCTGCCAGCCTTCGTCTGGTTTTTAAATGTACTGGAAAAATGGCTGAAGGGAACACCAAACGTTAAATTTAAAAACTGCATAGAATTTTATTCTGCAGAAAAACTTCATTAAAAAAAAGTTATTACGTATAACAAAATTATAATGAAATAAGCAATATCCCTTAATACAAATGTTAATTATCCTAATAAATAAATTAACCAACTTCCCTTTGCAAAATCTTTAAAACTCAAATGGTATAAAGGAGGTTAAGAACTTTGTTTCCTAAAAAAAAAAACACTCAAAACTTTTTCAATATCTTAAAAACAGTGAAATGAGCAATAAATAACATAAAAGAATACAAAAAAAAAAAAAATTCTGAAAAGCAAAGTATAATTAATGATATTTTATGTTATATTTTCAAGAGAAAAAAATTAGGTGCTACTTTGGTAGACGGTTGCACGGATTTTTGGCGAATTACTTTGGCGCGGTTTTTACAGTCATCAGCCATCTTGAAAATTGCTGTTTTTACGTATTTTATGCATATAGTAAAGTATTCGAAACTTTAAAAAAATAAATATCGTTAAACATAATGGATTAAATTTTTGTTGAAAACATTGTTTTTTTAAGATGGCTGGCAAATGTAAATAAATACATTTACTAAGAGTATAAAATGCTAAAGTAAGGTTAAATTATTACTTTCATATAATAGAATAAAAACACCACTATAAAAACATTGCACCAACATTTAATTGGATTAAAATATTACTTAAATTGAATATCGAATTAAAAACATCATACCAACGTTTAAAAGATTAAAAATATACTTAAATTGAATATCGAATTAAAAACATCATACCAACGTTTAAAAGAATTAAAATATTACTTAATACTTTAAAATAAGTTTTATAGGAATTAATTATTTAACATTAAAACATATGTGGCAATAAAATATCTCAGAAATTTTTGAAAACATTGTATTAATTTTTTAATAAAAGTTGAAGTATACAATTATAAAGTGAAACAAAATTATGTACTTACATTTTTTTAAAGTATTTTACCTGTCGTATATTGATAAGTACAACAACAAAAGAAAAAAAAAAAAAAAAAAAAAAAAAAAAGAAAAAAAAAAAAAAAAAAAAAAAAAAAAAAAAAAAGAAAAAAAGAAGAAAAAGAAAAAAAAAAAAAAAAAAAAAGGTCTTCTAACGATCTTCATCCGTGATCAACATCTCTTGCACTTCATTGAAGAAGCAATTAGCGAGGTTTTCTCCAAAAATTTAAAATAAATTTCCTCTGATGCTATTAACAATTTATAAATAAATCTTTGATTAGAAAAGCCAGATTGGCCAAAATAAGGTCTCAAAGGTAAAATTTTTTATTCTGATACCACTAATTCTTGGTAATTACCAATAACAACATTCATCTTCGAAACGGATATATCCATTCTATTTGAAATCTGAGGAATTTGAAGAGATGAATAATAAAATTTTAAAATGGCGTGATAATGCACAAATATTTAGTAACCAATCAGGGAGCTGATTACATCACATATAGAATTAAAATTATTTAAATAATCATTCATAATAAAGTCATTTTTAAAATAAATGCAAAATTCAATTGTATTTTTAATACTTAACAGCCATAATAATGTTTAAAAACATTAGATTAAATTTATAGATATTAATAAACCATTACTTTTTAAGTAAGGTGACGTCATTGATTACATCATCCACAACATAAAATTATATAAATATTATAAACAACAAATTTTTATTTCAAATAAAATGCAAAATTAAATTGATTTTTAATATTTAGAAGCCATAAATAATATTTAAAACACTGAATTTATGCATAATAAAACGCATTATTTTTTAAAAATAAAATGACAGCAAAGTATCGGTTACCATAAATAACTTATCCAGCAATGAATTTACCATAAGTCGTATTACTCGCCAAATGAAAAAATCGGCAAAATCTGTGCAACCATCTACCAAAAAAAAGTGACAATAAAAAATAATAATAAAATGAACTATGCCAATCTCTTAAAAACAGAGACATAAGAAATACGATGAAAAATTGTTGCCAAACCCATATTTCTAAAAGAATGAAACTATTCAAAATAATGAGATTTCATCAAAAATCTATCAACAACAATAAGGAAAATTGTTGCCAAAATCACATTTTTAAAGATGTGAGATGTGAAAAGTGTACTCGGAAGCTTCATTTAATTTTTTTTTTTTTTAAATACAAAATATTATCATTTTTCCAAAATTCTTTTTGTAAAAGCAGTCGCAAGGATGAAAGTTTAACGTGTCCAAAAATCAAAGAAAAATAAACTGCACATTTTTAAACATAAACTTTTTTTAGAAAAAATCCCGCTGAAAAGGTGTTAAGCTCAGTTTGTTAAATAAATTTGTATTTAATCGATTTATTGAAACACGAAATTTATTTTAAGTTTGTAAAATAACTAAGTGCCTACGTTTCATGATGATGTGAAAATGGAGTGCGTAGAGTAAAATCTCGCTTTCCTATAGCCCATTATGTCTCAAAATGACGCAATTTCGTCACAAAACATAAAATTAAAAAAATTCTAATTCGAATTTCGAAAAAAATCGCTTCGAGGTGCACTGGTTCTTGTCTAGATGCACCTATGTACCACATTTCGTAGCCGTGGGTCTACTAACTTACGCGCAGCGCGAACGAAAGACACACACACACAGAGACTCTTTGTTTTATTATATGTAGAGATAATTCTATTATTTTCAAATTTATGATAAATATGTTATTTCTGACGCTACAGTCATACTTATGTATTCTATATCTACAATAAAAAAATTAATGTATTTGATCTTAGACAGTTAATTTGCCTTCTCTGCATTTCTGCTAAAGCATTGCTATTGTATGCCCCCCCCCAATCAGCTTTGTGTTACTTACCTTATCTTTATAACATATATTCTTGATTGTAACAATTTTTAATCCCTCTAAAAGAATACTTAAGTTTTACAATAAAATAAAAAATTCAACTATTAAACAGAACTGTAAAGAAAAAAGTATACAGTCAAAAGTCTTTAATCTGGACGTCCATAAACCGGAATGATCTATAATCCGGACCTCAAAGCTACAAACTTTCTGCGCATGCGTAAACGCATCCGCATAAAACCTTTTACGCATGTGCTTAATACGTTTACGCATGCGCATTTAATGTATAACGGATGGTATAAGTTAAGCTAAAATTATCTAATTATCTATTTCAGCTAATGTTGCAGATTGCGTTGTTCTTTAATCTTCTATTTGGATCCGGCTTATTATTTTTTGCAGACTTTTAGAGCAATTTTATAAAAGTAAGCTTGAACTTTCAATTATGTGAAAAAGAATTTCCGATTCTGGAGCTGCCAAAGGATCTACAAAGCGAAAGCATTTTTCGAGGTCCATCAAACAAAAAGTGGAATTGCTGCAATAAATGGATAAAGGCATATCCTTTGTTTCTCTAACCATTCCGAAAACTGTTTATCAAATTCACGCTACTCTGTGAGGGGGGGGCGTCCCCCCTCGCAGAATAAAATTATAAATATCGTCATTTTAAATATCACGAATAAACATCAAATAGTTTTCTGGTTGCAGTTTTCTAATTTTGACTATGCGTAATGTATGCTTTATGCATGTGCGCATTGAAAGAAATGTTTAATAAAGTAAACAAATAAATATTAAGCTTTTTTTTTGTAAATTTTGATACCTTTTACATCATAATTGCTCTTTATTTCATAAATTACGGTTTCATATTTTTATTTTATAATTTCTGCATGCCCTCTTACCAGATTTAAACTGATGATCTATAATCCGAAAAAACCGATAATCTGGAATCGCCAAAGTCCCGATGAGTCCGGATTAACGACGTTTGACTGTATAAATTTATAAAAAGTGAAAAAAAAAAAATTACTTCCCATTTTTATAATTTTTAAAATTTTATTTCTCTTATTTTGCACGGTATAGTTCATTTCATATAATTTTAAGTGCTAATCAATCCTTACCTTTTTTAGGATTAACAAAATTAAATTAGAAGCAGATGCAAAACCTATCTATAAAGAAAGGGGAGGGGAAGAAATAGTATTTATTAAATTTGAAGAAGACTTCTACAGTGTGTTTAATTACTTTGCTAGTAATTTCTCCTAATAAAAGCAGAGAAACAAAACAAAAATCAGAAAAATAGTGTGACATAAAGAAAGAAGCAAAACTTCTTCTGCTTAATGTTAAAGACGCTTTACACCACATTAAAAGATTATGAAGAGTTTTTCACAGATTATATAATCTGTGAAAATTTCTAAAAATATATTTTTAGACATTGAAATTTAAAATAATAGATGTCAAATAGTCAAGGGAGAAAAAATGATTTTCAAAAATTCACCAAGAAATCAGAAATTACATTAAAAATTTTGGTACTTTCCCATTTCGCCGGCGCAGGAGATTAAGTGGCCAAAAATGGTACACCCGATGCCAAACGGAATAACCTCGCTGGTAACCTTTTATGCCCCATTTTGAAAACAAGTCGCAGCTATTTCTTATCAGATTGATCATTTCTTTCAATACTGGCATATAATTATATAGAATTTTTAAATTATAATATTGAAATAATTCTTAATTCCATATTAAGATTTAACTTGAAATTAATGTAGATAATTACTGAGAGAATCCAATTTTTGTAGCGTAGTTTACATGATAAGAGATCACTTAGGGTCACATTATATGAACCATCGGATCAGGATGTTGTATCATGAAATAATACTAAATTCTTAAATTAATGCCTTTTTACAAATATGTCAAAAACGGATGAAAAACCAATGAAAATTTGGAATTTGCAAAGGACAGAGGAAGAATCTGTCAGATTCTTTCAAGCGAAAGGTGTTTTGCCTAAAATAGCTATTTGTCATAATAATAATGAAATAAAATTATAATTCGGAGATGAAATTCAGTGGCACTGCAACCTTTCAACTTGCTACAGGAAAAGAAGTATAAGAAAGGGCACATAGTTTGAATCATCAAAATTGAGTTTCTTAAGGTGTGTGAAATTTATTTATGGTTGGAATGAAGAATTAACTTCAGTTAAACAGTGTGAAAAGCAGTTGGAAATCAGTCACGGAACAATTGTAGATTGGAATAACTAACTACTTGTGTGAGGTTTGAGAGGATTCTTTACTTATACATCCACAAGGGAAAAAAGGAGGACCTGGTATGATCATTGAAGTAGATGAAAGTATGTTCACGAAGAGCAAAAACAACGCAGAACGGATTCTACCACAACAGTGAATCTTCGGTATAGTTTGCCGTTGAAACAAACAATTGTTTCCTTGTGAAGGTGTCAAAGAGATCCATAAGTATTGCATTAAAGGCAATAAAGGAAAATATCGAAAAAGAAACTACAATATATTCTGATTCATGAAAATCATATTGCACTGAAAAACTAGAAGAGGAAAGTTTCAAACATTTCAAAGTGAACCGTAAATACAATTTTGTCAATCTCGAAACTGGAACACACACATAAAATATAGAGATTTTGGAGTAGCACAAAATGGTGGAATAAGAAACACAGAGGAATGGCATGTCACCATCTGGCAAAGTTACCTCGCCAATTTTATGTGGAGAAGGGAAACATAAGACCCATTTGAAAAATTTTAAACGATATTAAAATATTTATGCCTCCAAAATAAAAAAATTCTTAGAACTAAGATTTGTAAACATTTTCTATGTGTATACTGTGTGTTGTCGCCAATAAAGTCTGCTCGGTGAGATTTGCACCGGCGAAATGGAAAAGTAACAAAATTTCACTTAAAAGGCTTTTCCCCACTCTTTCCAACAGTAAAATTCTGAGATTTTTTAGTTTGTCCATAAAACAAAGATATATGCCAAAAGTTTCATCATTAAATTTTTATAAAATCTAAATCTAATTTTGGAAATGTTGCTTCACCACACTGCAGGGTCATCCACAAACAGTGTTTGTGTATGTGTGCAAAATTTGAAATTGATAGCTTATCACTAACTTTAAAATCCATGAGTAAGCTAAGTAAATGCTCATAAAAACAGAATAATGCTTTGTTCCTAATACCTTAGAAAATACCAAAAATATGAAGGGAATAACTCTCTGTCTACGAGCACTCTAAACTCTTGTGCATGTACACTGATTTGTTGAACAATTTCTTAGGAAAATGTTAATAATTTCAGCTCCTTTTACAAAATGAATACTTTATTAGTAGAGTTGCAGATATAAAGTGCAGCTCAGAATTCCACAGGAATTATTGGCACAATTTCCACCAACTTTCATGGTTCAATGGCAGTTAACTTTCACAGTCGAAAGGATAATACGTAAATAACATGCTTTTTTAAACTTGAACATGCAATATAATGGCATGAAAAACAAATGATTAAAACAACAAATTTTAGAGATGTCATTTAAAAATAAATAATTAACTAAAAGTAGTGAATTGTACAGTACATCATTTCCAAATTTTTATAAATACTATAATATTCTATAGTCAGCGAACTAATACAAGTCACTGATTGTTATTTTTGGTCGACATCCTACATAGATTGTTGATTATTAATTTAACTTCCTGTACTGATTATTTGTATTTCCATCATAAGGCTTATGTAATGATTTCCCCTTCCATCTTTTTGGCATTTAACTTATATCTAAATGCATGAAGCAATATGGTGTTTTTAGATAAAAGATTGCAGTAAAATAAATTTCTATTCCTTCTATTGCAGTAAAATAAATTTTTCCCAAATAATTTTTTTAAATGATAATTTTATCCATGGTATCCAGTTCCTTTTAGCATCATTTAATACTAATGCCTAAGCAACATGACAATAATAAATGCAATTGTTTCCTTCAAACCAATTTCCTACTCTCATTCTTATAATATTTTGATGTTGCACTTCAATATATTTTCTTTAATAGTGCATAGCTTCATTGAATAAGAATAAGAAAATTCTCAATTGTATGACAACATTATGCGATTCTGAGAAAGAGAAGAGCTTCCATTTTATTATTAGGAAATCTTAAAGGTGAAGGATAAGGGTATGGCTATAACAAGGAGGCAAACATTTATTGGCATGTTATTGATATATCTTAGCATTAATCACAGTTGCTAATAAATTACTGAAATGTAAGTACCAAAAGTTGCTGTTGCTTTTAATCAGGTCTGCAATTACAACAGAATTGTTTTAGATGCTATAAGAAAATTAAAATTCATAAACTGATCTCATGTTTCATAAGTAACATCTTACATACCTTACCTCAGTCCAATCATATAGTTCAGCAAGTTGATGTGTATCTAGATCACTAATTCCAATGGTTACTACTTTTCCATCGTGCACCAGCTGCTCTAATACTTTCCATAAAGGTTTTATATGTGCCAAGGTAAGTGTTTCAGCATTAGGGGGAGGTGGCAGAGATAAAATTAAAGAATCAATAACACTGACATCTAAATCCTTCATCACTAGATTAAAAAATAATAATTAATAATTAAAATTTACTACAAAGATTATTTGAATTAATAATTCAGATTTCATTTTATAAAGCATCTTTCAAACAAATAATCCTCTACTCTTTATTATATACTTTTATATAAAGATATAAAAACGTATTTATAAATAAAAAGTTTAAATTTTTTTTATTTTAAAAATATAAATATTGGAAATACTGTACTGTATCTTTTCATAAACATATGTCATAATTTTATAATCAATGTGTTATAAATATTCACTGACAATTTTGTCCTGTAAATATTCGTTAAGACTTTTGGTACTTTCTGATTATCTACATCCTCACAAAAAGTAACTCATCCAACTCATGACTATGAAATGGTGAGAAACATTTGTTTGGCTATCTTACAGCTGATATGTTATAAATTATTACAAAATAAAGCATTTCATAGGAAATACAAAATTTTATGACAGAAAATGATCTGCATGGCTAAAACACTGATCAGCAAAATGGCAATTATACAGTCAAAAGTCTTTAATCCGGACTCATCGGGACTTCGGCGATTCCGGATTATCAGTTTTTCTGGATTATAGATCATCAGTTTAAAACTGGTAAGATGGCATGCAGAAATTATAAAATTAAAAATGAAACGTATTTTGAAATAAAGAGCAATTATGATCTAAAGTATCACAATTTACAAAAAAAAAAAAAAACCAATAATTTGGTTATTTATTAAACAGCGGATGCGTTACCAGGTTCGTACATTTCCTTACATGAAAATTAAGGACTTTTAAGGACCATCAAAGAAAAAATTAAGGACCTATCAGCAAACAAAAAAAAATGAATAGAATAAAGCAATTATCCATACAACCGAACTTCATGCTTGTAATTTTCACTTTAAGAAACTAACAGAAGTGTGTATTATGCACTATTATTAAATTCAATTTAATACTTACCATAAAACAATTTTGAAAATTAAACTAACTCCCTACAAGTTATGAAGTAGATAACATTAAATTAGGAACATATAATTTCTTGAAAAACATGTATAAGTGTATTTTACACTAATAACAGTCACTATTTTAGAGATTTACATGATTATTATTTAACTTATTTGATATTTATTTAAACACAGTCAACTACTATTATAATCACAATGTAAGAATATTTTGCAGATTAAAATAACTGATTTGTAAACATACAATTTATTTCCTTGGTTTTTTTGAAAGATACTAGAATAATAAACTGTACAATAAAAGATACAAAACATTTGTGCTTTTTTTTAATCTGAAATCTTTTCAGCTATTTTAACATCTAATTTATTTATGTCTATTTCCTTTTCTTTAACTATTCTTCTAAGTTCATTTGCTTTGATAAACAAATCAATGTTCCTGCTGGTCTCAGCTTCATCTGCTAAAGCATCTACTTCTTCATTAATATCTTTAATGTCCCTTTGAAGAAATTTTTTCTTCTGCTTCATATAATCAATTTCTTCCTCAATAATATTTCTTTTCCTCTTTGAATTTTCAGATTTAGTTAAAGATTTTTGTTCTTCTAAATACTGAACTTCTAAATAACGAACTCCACTTCTTGCAGAAGCTGCTGCTGATCTCATTTCTTTATTAATTTCGATATTAAGAACACCTCCAGAAAATTTTATGTAATCAAATACTGTGCGTTGAAAAATGTATGATGAGTCACTTAAATTTTCAATTTCAATTGCTTTATTTACAGAGAAGCCCCTTTCCACAGAGGCCTGTTCATGTGACAAGATAAGAATACTTGAATAGTGAAAATATACATTTTTTACTATATATATATATATATAAATTTATTTCCTAAACAATATTGATTAATTGATTATATTATCTCCTAAGTTTAATTAAAGTAGAATTATTTTAAAAGAGTGAATCCATACTGGTAAGTTATATTTTGAAAGATATATATATACAGTACAAAGTCCGAGATCCGGACATCCAATATCTGGAATGATCTAAAATCCGGACCTCAAAGCCACCACCAACCAATTTTTTAGGGCTTTTTTGAAGGGAAGGGGTATGCTTTACGCACGCGCATTAGATTTTTTTCCTCATCATAAAAAAACATGTCGGAAATCCCGATTCTTAATCTCAGTTTGGCGCTAAATAAAATATCTCATTATTGAAGAAATAATTATTTTAGCATAAATTTGTGTGATTAGTAACTTGACTCCATAGCTGCGTATCTGCTTGGCATAATCTCAAACCGAAACATTTGTTAATTTTACACCAACTAATATTTTATATCCTTGATGCCGAAATCGCGAATCATTATTTATTGTATTTTGCTTTCATCACCGCATGTTTATCAACGGATGACAACTTGAGTGATGAATCATGCAGCGACGCCAAATAACAGAGTATTATCCGATTACAGATTTAAGTTTAATGCGCTAAAATGTTGACAAGGGGAGATTTAGCAGAAATTTCTTTCCTTATGCTAAAAATAGATTTTGTTAATGATACTCATAGGACAAACGATTATATTTAGTGCTATTTGAATTAAGAATAACTGATTTGTTATTCACATAAAGCCAGAACCAGCGCCAGAGCTCGCATGGCCGCACCAGGCGGCAGAATTTAGCGGAAGTTAAACAGAAGTTTTTCATTGCGATGACAATGCCCAATCATCAATCAATTAACGGAGGGCGAAATCTGTAGTATGGTTCTAAATCCAGAAAATACAGCTACCGATAGTGAAGAAAGTAACAGAGAGGTTACTGAACGAGAAAAAATTTTGATTGACAAGTTATTCGGAATTCTCGACACAGCAATTACAGGACTTGAACAATGGAACTTAATAACTGAACAAGAAATTATATGTCTATAGTATTAGTCTAAAGTATTAGCAGAGAAAACAAATCAAACAACTCACATTGAAAGAAATGTTTAATAAAGTAAACATATAAATATTAAGCTCTTTTTCTTTTGTAAATTTTGATACCCTTTAAATCATAAATGCTTCATTATTTCATAAATCACGATTCATATTTTCAATTTTATAATTTCTACGTGCCATCTTAGTAGATTTAAAATGATCTAATATCCGGAAAAATCTCAAATCTGGGATCGCCGAAGTCCCGACGAGTCCAGACCTCGGACTTTGTACTGTATAATATATATATATATATACGGAATGTATATTTTCAGTTAAACTTCTACCCAATAACTTTAGTAATTCATGAAAGTTAATTTTGCGTCTAGTTAATTCAGGAAAATTAGTTTCAATTAGTTGTTTTCAGCTTTAAAAATATTAAAAAATTTTTAATTAGTTAGTTATTTTCAACTAATAATTGTATCGCCATTAGCAAAAATTAATGCATTACTATCAACAACATAGGTTTAAACCAAATACTTAATTGTCTATTGAAGCTTCAAAACGTATTTCCGAACTTCACTTTTTCTCGGCTAGCGTTACCGAATTTGCCCTTGGCGACCTAAAATCGAAATGGAGCCAACAGATTTCCCGCGAAATCGATAACAGACCCTCTGCAGAAATAAACTCATAATCCCGATATCCCATACATATAGTATGTGCAAAAGAGAATAAACTCCGTAGAAGGTGATAAAAAATTAATTTATGGCTTAATTGAAACAAACACAGAAATTAAGCTAAGCAAAACCGTGTAAAAACAAATTGAAATGATAAAACGAAACTTAATTTTCAACGCTGACTCTCCCATTCTAGAAATTTCAATTTGTTTCAGACAAAGACCACATTTAAGGATTGCCATCCATCAATATCCAGTCTTTGTAGTCAGCTTGATGAAGCCACAGTTTATTGAAAATGCACTTTCCAGGCATCTCGTTCCTATTGGCGTCGGAAGGGTTGTGGCCTTCCAGGTTGGAATTGCTCTAATTTTGGCAAATATTTTCAGAATCCCCCCCCCCCTTTTTTTTTTTCTCGAGCACCTTCATCATCACTTTCGCCTCTTAAAGAACTTCCGGCTTCACGCTTTCGTCACAATCTGCCTAAATTTATGGATAACACCTGTTTCGAAAGATTGGGTGAATAGCCAATCAGACACCGATACTTTCGTTCGGGTAGCTAATTGTTTTTTTTTTTTTTTTTTTTTTTTTTTATCGTTTGCAACGCAAATCCGCCAACAGATTGGTTAAGAGCCGTGTAATTTTAATTCCATATTCATGAGAAATCGTAATTCACACTTAGAATGGCAATCATTAGAAATGATAAGAAATGTCAAATGAGCAAAATTAAGGACCGTTTATTCATTTTGGCCAAAATTAAGGACTTTTAAGGACCAAAAATCATTTTTGAAAAAATTAGGACACGAACAATACGCTTATAAAAATTGCAACAAAAAAATTTTGTTTTGTATATAATGACAGAATTTAATTAAATTAATGGAGAATGGAGATGAAACCTACTTAGTGGAATATAAATGAATAAATAAAAACTCTGCCGAAGAAGGATGTGTGCAGATCAACTTCCAGTTCGTTGAGGGCTGCGAGGTCCCCCCCCCCACAGAGCAGTGTTATATATGTAACTGTATCTATTGTTATCTTTAATCATAACTGTAATATAGAATAGTCGATGAGCTATGTAGAATAAACGATGTTTGTGTACATCTTGGTAATCATCACTGAGCACATACCCAATATATAAAAAATAACACATGGTGCAGTCCAGTCGAGTCTTTCCTAGATTAAAAAATAAAATCTTTTTTCAAGAACCATGCAGCATCAGTAAAGATATTCTAAACAAAAACATGATGGGAAGTTATTTACAATGAAATCTGGCTGGTAAGTGTGTTGTTTATTTTTATTTGAAGTGGCTAAAAATATGTTGGATGGATTAAAGCCACTAAGTAATCTAAATTTCGAAGGTAATTTAAGTGAAAATTGGAAGAAATGGAAACAAAAATTCCAAATTTTTATGTTAGCGTCTGGTGGTATTACTAAATCACCTGAATTAAAGCAGCTATTTATTGCATATTATTGTGAAAAAGCACTT